TATGGTTTGCCTTCGTTCGCTACCACTCCATCTTAAAGGCATGAGTCTGGATTTAATGATGCGTTATTTTGTTCAAACATTAGGCAAGGGGTGCAATGAAGAACATTAGTGAGGAGAAAAGCAAAAAGCACCATAGAGAACACTAAATTTCCCTTAGGAGGCCGGCCGTAGTACGACGGAGAGACACAGCGCTGCGAGGAGAGGGAGAAACGAGATAGTAGTACGTCGTACGCGAGAGACGCAGAGACCACGTATGCCGTGGTGGATTACGCTGGCAGCGCGGGCAGCGCGGCGGGCAAGGCCTTAGCGCCATTGCCGCGCACTTTTGGGTCGCGATAGTGTCGCGCCCTCAGTGCTTGGGGAGCCCACCATCGCACCCTGGGAAGAACTTCTGCTGGTTGCCTAATCCTGACACGTGGCTTAACTTTATCTGAAATGAGTTCCTTTTTCATCGTAAAACCTGCCTTTAAGGTAGCCAATCTGATCCTGTTCGTGTTGTAATGGGAGTAAGCGTACAACAGCATCAGAAAATATTGCATTAATCAACTTACAGGAAATGGTTCTTTGAAATATTCTGAACATGGAATATGACTCCCTCTCCCTCACCTTCTCGGTGGGCCAAATTAGATATCCCTTTGCGAAATTCGTGGCGCATTGACTGCTTGATATGGCTTTTGCACATCGCTAACATTACATCGTGAAGTTACGTCCCTAGCCGTAGTTGCAGTTTGAATAATCGACCGACCTGACGCACGCTTGACGCTGAGCTCCAAGCCTGTCCATGGTCTGTGATGTGCTGGGTACCACTCTGATGAGCAGAGCACAACGGCAAAAAGGTACTAGTAGAGAAAAGTACTTCATCGCTAGCTATTTCGGAACAACTGCATGTTATCCATGAAAGTTAAATTCGCAGCTCATCACAATTGATCGACGTTATCAGTTTTTGATATCGAAAGATAAGATATTGGCTCGATATTTAGAATCAATCACTCTTTTGCGCCTCCATTTTTTCTCTCGACCGTAATCGAGCATTGTGCTGGTATCCCACAGCAACAGCTTTCAACGAAGCAGTGTTCTTGGAAGACGTGAGTTCACTGCAGAGAGGAGATGTAAGAACTGATTGGACTGATTAGTGGCCGTGGAAGATATGGTGCTGTTTGCCCCACTATTTGAGTGTTTGAACTCATGTGTGAGGGAATGTGGAGGCCTAATACATACCGACGAATGCTCCCCCCCCCCATTTTGAGTTGACCAGGTAGAGCTAAAGTATTCTTTGTGCGCATACACACCATTAACCTCTGCGGAAATGTGAGATCACTTTGGGGTTTGTTTCATCACTCGGAAATGACAGGCAGCGATGAACTAGTTACAACCTGTCGTGACCAGGTGCAGACTGAAGTGCGCATCGGGGTTCCGCACTTGGACCACGCCAGAACGGGAGTTATCGGTGCCCACACACCCTCGCGGGGTACACCTGCCGCGCCGAATGCTCTGCGACGCCTTGCCACGGGCTACTAAAGCCTTACTCCTAGTGACTAATATTTATGTGTCACTACGCTAGCTATGATTTTTTGTACTAACAAATAAATGGCGGTTATTGAACGATACGAAGTGACACACTATTACACAGACGTAGACGGCTATACGAAGTAACTACGAGGACAATATTGAACTACGATCAGAGATGTATACATTTTGAGCATAGCTGGAAGAGAGGAGAATGAGATATGAGAGGCAAACCATGATCGACGTGTTCCGTGGTGGAGAGCCCAGGGTGACAGGGATCAGGGACGACAGCGCTGTCCACCCGTGCCGGGACAAAGTTTCTTCGGCGTGGACCTAGCCGACTGGATTCGCACCCGACATGAGAATAACGCGGACAACTGGACACGGACGGAACACTGGACGTGCATGTGACGGACTGCGAGCGTAACTGGCTTTCGCGCTTTCAGTGCATTCCACCAGTTCGCGTAAGACCGCACCAGGCGATTCGATTGCGACGCGGCATTACATCCGGCCAATTCGTAAACCAGTCGTACACAAGTCGACGACCACCGTCCATTGTGCTAGCTGCTTACAGTAAACCTGGGATTAGCCCTTACGAAGTAGGAAGGACTTTGAGGGAAACTGCATGTTCTGCAGCTACGTAGATAACTCCAGTTTCGCAAAAATTCCGCAATTAGGGCGCCAATCCTAGCGGGCCTGCAACCGTCGACCCCCCTCCAATGATCATCCACCACGACTGATATTGAGATGAGCGTGCTCTTTCAAGCGGCGTGCTCTCTCTCGTTTTGTCTTTATTGAAAGCCCTGTCTCCCAATCGTACCACATCCAACGTTACTGAAGGCTAAGGGCTTAATTTCAAGTTTTCATAGATTGCCCTTGCTCTCATCTCCACTATCAGGTCCTTCCGAAGCCCAGTCATCACTACGAAGCGCCCATATACACCTGTTTTATTGGGTTGACGATTCCAGAGGAGAAAACGCGAGAAAGAAAGACGAACACAACACAGAAGCGGGAAAACTTTACCTGCATGTAGAGAAGGCGAACTCCAAAGAGTGTGGAGACAACACGTTATTTGCCATCCGAAGGATATGTAACCCACCATCCAGCATGGCCTTTCCTTCGGCGCTATTGGCTCGGAACGTCCACCGTATATCCAACCACTCGCCGCAGGTCTCTACGCGGTGTGATTAGATAGCAGGCGTTGATGAGGGCACAACGATGAGGCGCGTTTATAATTCGCGCTCCAGGGATGGGATAGTCTATCATATCTCACAATAAAAAAGATATGTGACGGGAAGAATAGGACAGTGTAGACGTGGGAGGAGACGGAGAGATAGAGTAGGATAGTGCGCTGACAAGATTAGATACGTCTTAATCGATTCACCTGAAGACGCCTGATCTATACTACTGCTCTCCAGCGATTCCAATCGTCACGTATATGATCTTGTCAGGGCAGTATCCTACTCTACCGCATACTACCCTAATCTCACAACTCACGAACAATAAAGGCGGCCTGAGAGTCGCATCAGGCGGAGGTCAGCAAGGTCCCTTTTTTCGAGTTCGGACCTTTTCCAAGGTTTCTTCGCTGAACCCTGCTACACTGACCACCTCTACCCTCCGTATTTCCAATACGGCACCTTTTTATCGAGAAATCCGCCTCCAAAGGCAGCGATCACGACAAATTCAAGAAGGTTCAGAGAGGCGTGCTTGGTGCTCAATGGTACGGTGAAAAGTGAAAAGGTGTGTGGTGAAAAAAGTGGAGAAAGCCGTCAAGAAACGCAGAATGGGCCTCCTTTTTTGGACGTGGGGTTGGGATTTTCATCACAATGAACAGGTGGACAGCTCAGCGTATAAACTGAGACGCAACGGCGTTTAGCTGGCGCACCCATGCAAATCACGATCGGCACGCAGCTCGTCAAATCACAACAAACTAGTGCGCGAATACTTTTGTGGGGCAGACGCTTTGAATTTCCTATTCAGCTACATCGAAATTTACGTGTGAAAAGCACATATACTCGCTATCCTAGCAGCAAGTATTGATGTGTGGATGCATATGGCTTCCAAATGCGCACCCGACTCTATCTCGCTGCCTTTAAGGTCATGGCCAGTCGGAAGAGAAAATAGGGGTACATCGGGGACAACGTAGATCACTTCCAAAGACCACGCTAAATAATTGCGTCGCGATGACTTACTCAGGCAGCTGATACGATACAGTGGTGCCACTCATTATGCGGAAGCCCTTACAGCCTTAAGGGATACTAGAAGAAAGATTCCTAAGCAACTTTCATTTCCTCCGGAGCCCTTCTTTAGTATGTACTAGGCTCAGTCCAAACGACAGATGATCTACCGTTGAACAACAGCTCTCGAATTGATCGAGACTACGCTTGATGCATACTACATGCCCATGTGAGAAACCACACAGCCGGCCAGCGCACATGCCCCACATGTGAACGCAACACTCAGGAGCTGTGTAGCTGGTGGAGGCGAGCAGTATCAGCGCTGATAGCATACATTATACGAAGTTCATTTTTGGAGCAATTACCGTAACTCCACTCCATTGGTCACTTACTGTTCTTTCATCTATACATCTTCATGCCTAGTGCGCTCGCCGTTTCTCCCTTCATTCCTTTTCTCGTCCCAACCCTCCCTCTGTCCCCTTATTGCAACTGTCGTGCATCAGTGAGAGCAACAATGAGTTCTCCCAGATGAAAGGAATTCGATCGGAATTTAGCCCTCAGAGTGCAGAATGTCGAGACAATTGTTCCGCTGACCTGTAGGCACGTTACGTATCCCCACAACCCTCCCTTATCTCGAATGAGTTCTTAATTTGCAATCCGGAAAGAGTCGACAACACCGTTCAAAAGGATCGCACCATAGGACCACCACCGAAAGCGTATAAGTAATGCAGAGCGCAAACTTCGATTGATCTCCTGTTCCATCTCCCTGAGGCCTTAGCAATGACGGGGATCCATCCTCGCCCGGGGACACGGCTCACGGTCACCGCTCAATGCAACCGTGTTCGACACCCAGACGCAACGATGGCGCGACCACGCGGTGCGTGTTTGGTGACGTCACAGCGAGCGAGCGGCGGAGCGGGCGGGCAATGGCGGGGACCGGCATCAACAACAAAAAGGCGTGTTCCTCTCTTGTTTCAAAATTAGTACATATAGGGTGGGGGGGGTTCCAGTTCGCGCCCCCCCTACGAAGTCAGACCACACAATATTTATGTCCTGACTAGCTTCGAACCTGAATAGTTTTCGAAAACAGAAGGAGGAGGGAAAGAGTGGCCTGGTTTTACGCGGTGGATCGCAGCTCTACCAGCGCGCTGTTGACGCGCGCCGCTAAATGCCTCCTTGCCCTCCCCCAGAAGACATGATTGATGGCGCGTGTGTATGTCCCCAAACGCAGGGCACACGCTTTTTTCACGCCAACGGTTCCGCTCTCGAATATAATGTTGTCTAGCCTGAATAATTCAACTTTAGTTGGTTGGAACTATGAATTCTAAAGTGCTATTTCTTCTTGTTGTCTGCGCCGTCATCGCTTCCCCTGTCTTTTCTTCTGAAAGTCGTTTCTGCACAGCGTGCAAAGGTATTGTCGACAATGTCAAGAAAATGGTCTCCGCAGGAAAGGACATTGAAGAGGTTGATTAAACCTTACTCTCCAGTCCTGTTTACGGAGTTCCGACGGTATATATTTCTGAAGTTGTGCTTTAGGCTATCAGAGAGGAATGCGATGCAAGTGCTCCGAGGTTTTTGAAGTCTGTTTGCCGTCGCTTCCTCAATGGTCTCTCAATGTTACACGATCATATACAGGTTTGTTTCTGAATGATCTAAATTAAAGGGTAGATCCTGGCCAGCCTTACTGAACTGCAGAGGTTGCGCCACCTTTGCACAACGAAACGCATCGCTAACAGGTTAGGACTCTGATCAAAGCTTCACCAAAACTATATGGCCTGTCCGGTTGATATCTATCTGCTTCGAGCAGGCCTGGACCTACTGAAATTACTGGCAGTGGGACGGGGAGGGAAGGAGTTTGGGGAGGATTCGTCGCAGGACCCACTTTGCAACGGTCGCACCTTTGATTTTGGCCTTTTTTGTAGCTTTGTTTCCGTTCTTTTATTGTTCTTGATTGTATATTCGCTCGTCAGTACCTTTCTTCATTCAAAAGACAGCAATGAAAGAATGGAAACAAAGCTACGAAATCAAAGGTGCGCCGGTTGCCCAGTGGGTCCTGCGACGAACCTCCCCAGCCTTACTCCCATCCCTGCGTGTGCTCAGGGGCCGTATGCTGAATGTTGGGTAGGGGCTGGGGTCCCCGACCCGCGATGCTGAATGTTGGGGCTCCCAGCAGAGTTTCGTCGCGGGACCTACAGGTGACTGGCCAGTCCTTTAATTCTGTGATGAAGTTTTTGTCTTTTCACTGTTCTAGATTACAGATTCGTCCACGCACACATTGCCATATTGAAGTAATACACCAATATGGCACGAAGTAATAGAAGGCGCGAACCAAACTTCAGTCTAAAGTAGTGAATGGACAGACTGGCAAGATTACGGCAATGCAGCTAGACGTACACGAACGCTCCAATATGTGAAAGAATCAAAGGATAAACTAAAGCAATTACAACAATATAGCTGCATATACGTGGACAAATCTACAGTGTAAAACAGTAAAAAGGTGAAAACGTAATCGTAAAATCAAAGGACCGGTCAGTGGCCGCCCGGTCCCGCGACGAAACTCTGCTGGGAGCCCCAACATTCAGCATCGCGGGTCGGGGACCCCAGCCCCTACCCAACATTCAGCATACGGCCCCAGGAGGCCGTCGCGCGGCAAGAAGGCAGAGTCGGCGGACGAGTTGCAGCGCGTGGTGTGCGATGTAGGACGTGCAGTGGGACACTCTATTTAACTTGACGCGAAATCCCTATAGTACGCGCGCGACTCGTCCGCTGACTTTGCCTTCTTGCCGCGCGACGGGCCTCTTAGGGCCCCCTCATCCCCATCCCCTCATCAACATGCAGCGTACGACCCCTGCTGATTTGCTATGCGCTCTCTACAGGATGTGTTACCCTCTCCGCGACTTTCATTATCTCTATCCACGTGCATGCCTCTCAGAAATCTCCTCAGCGTGGAGCAGAAAAGCTCGTACTTTCTGTGTTTTTCACGAGCTTCTTCCTTTCATTTCTTTTCTTTTCTTCATCCTTTTACAGTCCACCTTCCACCCCTACTTCCGTACTCGGATGGGGTTGCCACACCCAAATTTGATCGCTGGATCCTAATGCCTATTTGAGTTCAGAATTGGCTGGTAGTAAAAGCAAGATGTTCATGGTATCAAATTCTTAAAGAAGGTTTCAGGATACTTCATCTGACGACGTTTGCGCCACTCTTCTCCTCTGTGGAAGTTCTGAGGAGGATGAGGAAGAGGAGGAAGAGGAATGAATCGTGACGACATTACAAGGACATGCACACTTGCATTGTTCAATAAAACTGTTGTTTTCTTATTGTCAGTTTAGTGCCGCATGCCCTACCGCGCGCATGAAACGGAAGGCCTAACCATAAGTGAAGCAGGCAGCCGATAAAGCGTTAGGTCCACCGCTGTACATCGAGCTGCTTCATAAAATGCGTTAGTTGACCGTTTCATAGGCTGCCCATCTTCGCAGAAGCTCACCCTTTGATACGCGCAGTGGAGTGCGGACACTTAAAGCGTGTCTGTAAATAACCACAGGCATAGAGATCACAGCTGATTTATGCGGTCGACGATTGGGTTCGATGATGTGACTAGAAATATCACTAATGTGTATCGTATTTCTCCGTGCATCGACCATACATTCTTAGGAAATTCTGGAGAGCGCAGCGCTCTACATTTTAGGCTAAGATCACCGCAACTCAAAGAATATTGGAGAGAAATGTTTACCTAAAGTGTGGTTTTGAGTGATCTCTATATTCTTGTTCATATCATTACTATCGGCCTTATCCGCCGTTATCACTTTACCCCCCCCCCCCACTAAAGGTGTTCCTGTCCTACCCTCTACATCACTTCTTGAAACCAACGCCCCAGTGATGCTGGGACGCGCACTATGGAGATTGTGATGTCGGCCTTTTAAGCGCTTACTTGTCATCGGATGCTTATCAAGCCGTTATAATTCCTGCACTCTGAGCAATAGGTTACCGTCCACACATAAAAATACTACTGGGAAGGTTCAGCGCGTTCACTTTGCAACGAGCGCGCTATGGATTTTCCGTGACAAAAAGACTACAACACATACACACACACAGGACGATATGTTACGCGACATTATATTTAGTAAGCATGAGTATTATAGCTATCCTACTATATATAATCGGCTAAGCGGTTGTGTGTGTGTGTCTGACCGGAAATTCATAACTTCACCCCCTTTGGACCCAGAGCGCTCAAACTTCTAGGATATATAGGGGGCCGGAGGTGAACACTGATGACGGGTGGCGGGAAGTGATAACTACTGATAGGAGCTGATAACGGACGTCGAAATGTTGATGTCACCAATTTCGTTGCACCGTTCGCGTTGACAGTGGAGAGTTTGCACTCATGTATGATATGTGGGTGAGGCGGGGACCAAGAAGTTGAGTGAACGAATGTGGTAGCAACTGATAAGAACTGATAAGGGGCGTCAAGTGTGGATACCACCAGTTTCGTTGCGGCCCTTGCGCAGTTACATTGGAACCTTGGCTCTCACATGTGGTATAGGGGATGGGACGGGAACACGGATAGCGGATGATCAGAAGTGATAACAAGCGATAACGGTTGATAAGGAAGTTAGGATTTTGAGTACTGCTAATTTCGTTGCAGCCTTCGTGGTGACAGTAAATATTAGCTCCTACACGTTGCGTGGATTTTGGGACCGGGACACCGATTGCGAACAGTATGAACTGATAAGAAATGACAAGGAATGATAAGAGCGTTTGAATGCAGGTCTCTCCAACTTCGTTGCAATCATCATTGCAAGCGATCAAGGTGGAGAGGGCTGAATGTAGGCTGAAAGAAGGGGTGGAAGCGAAGCGGGCAACTGTACTGATAAAAGTACCAACAGTTGAGCGTGCACTCAATTGAATTAACCAAGTCCCTAGCAGGTGAATATGTTCCATTCCTACCCTTTCATCTAAGAAGCAAAGAAAGTTGAGCTGCCCAACTTGGACCAATAGCAAATTTCCATTATATTTCCGATTTCCATCATAGCTCGTTAGATGCTGATTGATTGGTTATATTTCACTTACACACCGATTCCTCAATTGTGGAATTTCTATAAACCTTTAAAGGCACAACCCAGGCAGAGGTTTTTTATAACTCTTCTCTTCGGTCAGAAGTATAGAACCCTAGGGGACAATCACAAATGTGGCGTTCACGTGCACGGAATTCGACCGACAAGAACGCTTTGGGCTTGCAAAGTAAGCTGCTCGAGCTGCAGCGAACGAGCTCTCTTATCAGGCCGTTGTCTGGTGCTCTCTCATCTGATGCGCTCTCTCGCCCCATACTCTCCTCTTCGCGCTTAGTCTCTCGTTCCTTTAGCACAGCCAATTAGGAAGGTGAGTGAGCCCTCAACCTGAGCGTTTTCGACGGATTCTTTTCCTTTTTTCTTCACTGCCGGCCCACTTGGCACCGATACATTCACATTCGTGTGCAAGAGCCACACCAGTGCGATCCTGGGGCATGCCTTTAATATCGTGAGCTCGATATCAATGCTAAATGTTTACGAAGTCATGATAAGTATCATTTTCATTCCGCATGCTACTGCGCGCATTACGCTACAATCTTCAGCGAAATTGGACAACCTTTGAAATTCATGTGACACATCTTCCAAACATCTTACTGTTAGTTTCTCAGCCACGTGACCTAATATTCAGCAAGTTGTCCAGTTTCACTAAAAGCCTACCATGATGCGCGCGGTTGCGTGCGGAGCTAAACTGGGTATTGCAAGAAGCACTTACATTTGAATTCTATTTCAGCCAGTGTCAAGATACCGTATGCTTCACTGCAAATAAAAAATGTTGAGCTAGTGATGACACTGCGAGTAGTGCAGCAGCACTGCTGGGTCCGTTGTTGATCCCTATGCCTACGGCCCTTTAACCTTTATTCGAAGCGATTATGTACGACCCCCTGGCGAGCAGTTCCGTTCTTTATCCTGCTTCTAACCAATCGTAAGTAGGCGTTCATGTTGTACATGTACGGTGGTCATATACATCATATATCCATAGAGGGGGTGAGGGGAAGGGCTAGATCGTGGTGCACATCGCTAAGTTTTCCGTTACGCAGGGTGCAGTTGTTGAAGGATGCACAGCAAAAAATCCACAGATGCCCTTTTATGAGCAGGAGCTTTCCTTCTTCTTTCAGAATATGACGTTATCTGCCGTCACCGTCGAGATCCAGGAAGACTACCGTAGTTACTCCAATCTGAAGAAGCCGTGTCTGAGTCTACAGCCGTTCAGCAGAAAGAGAGAGTATCAGCTTTGAAGAAGACAACAACGATGAGAGTTGCAATCAATGCGCACATTATCAGGCAAGGGAGGGGTTCCATTTCTTAGGTTGTAGGTCATTTTGTTCAATTTTTTTTCTTTGCGCGCAAAACTTTTCTTCCCCACCCTTAAATCTCCTATGGGCCTTTTCGTCATAGAATCTCAATCAATCTTCAAATGCTGGATGGTGCTGCAGAGACAGTAGCTCCGATTATACAAGGGCTTTCAGATCATCAAGTAAAGTCATAGTGGTCCAATTTCCTGGGTGCCACTGTGTTTGCCGAGTGAGACAATGGCACCCAATGGTGGGTGCCACAGTGATTTTATGACAGTGTCCTAAAAAAGTATGATACGGAAAACAGTTGTAAACATCATCAATAAAAATAATTGAGGAACATGAGGAATGGAGGAGAGCAGCACTGACCATGAGTGACACCCGTGATGGTTGACATAGACTCTGTGCCCGATGACCATGCAGACCACAAACCCGCGCGTAATAGAATTAGCCGCTGCGTGATGTCACGTTGCGTGTCATGGGGTGTGCGCCAGGTAACTCGTCCAAGAGCCAAGATTAGTGGCCACAAGCCAGCTTTGTAAGACTCTAGCGCCGTTGTCGCGTACTTTCGAGCCGCGACAACGGCACATCTGTGCTACATGTAGGCTACTCTATCCACCCAATGAATAGATTCTTCAGCACGACTTTGCTGGAATAGTTGCTTTAAATATTGGAGAATGTGAAAGTGCTTTTGATAAAATTGTGATACTGTAATACCTAGTATCTGAGATCAACTACACCGGTAAGACCCATTTTTCGCAGGAATTATCGAGCTATAGTCTGTAAATCACATTGAAGATTTTCAAGAAGCTGACAGTAATCGTGAGTCCCACGGCTAAGCCAATAACTTAAGCAGCTGTGGCAAGTTACATTGCCGTGAGTGAAGATCTGGAAGTACCTTCTATAGGAGACGATCAGCGTGTGAAGTCTGAAAAGGCGTCATCAATCAAGAAATTTTCTCTTGTTCTTTGATGCCAGAAGTGGACCTTGTACTTGTTGGTTCGGTACAAAACTAGTTGGGTGAAGCAATTCGATTTGTTGTTACCATCAGCGCTAAGCCCAATAGGAGACCCATGTGAAGTAAGAACCAGTTAAGCAACGGAGTTCCTCCTATACTCAGTCCTAACTGAGCATTAGCTTGAACCGTTAGTTCGAATATGGTTATGTAGCCTTGCACTTCGGTTCTACTCCGGTATGCTACGACAACGACGGTCGTTTGAAAGGGATCAGGGACTGCTCTGTAAATTCATAACTTTCAACCTCTTCACTTGAATGTCTGAGAATTGGTTATAAACCTCATGTCAACCAAGGATAAGTGTGTAGATGGAAAAGCAGACAGCTCTGTAGTATTGGGACTAAGCCTTTTGAAGAAAGTAATGAAAGTAGCTCGACTACTGGCATGTGGTCAACTATTGATAAAGCTATATTCCAAAAACTCGTCCAGACATGCCCTCTTCCCACCCATCCTGGGTTTCTTCGCCACGATTGAGAAGAACGGTGTTTTTCTACGATGGTGTTGGCGGTTTATTTTCCTTCTTTTTTGTCACTGAAGGTTCACTTCACATCTCTTCGCTCACTTGTGAGAGAATAATCACCCTATGTCATTCGTGGGTGATGCTTTTGAGTTAAGAAATAAAATTTCAGGTTGTCAAAGAAATGAATCTTAATCTAATTTTCCTCCTTGGTCTCAGCTCATTTATCGTCGCTCCCGCCATTTCATCTGAAAGTCGTCTATGTAATATTTG